TGATCTTCAGTCTTATAAACCACCCATTTCATTAAGCCACATTTATTGATTACTCTGTTAAAGACATTTTTTTCTAAAAATAATAAAAAAAAGAAAATCTCTGACTAAAAACAAAAAGCAAAATACACTGATTTCCTTGTCAATAGAATATAAGCTTATCTGACTTTTAGCAAATGAGAAATAAACAAATCGTATGTTCACCTCCTTTCTAGATTTCTTGAATAGTCTTGCACTTCCAAGAGCTCAGTGACTGAAACGAAGTCTTTTTTACACCAAAGCACACAAGTGTTGATTTGTGTAGGAAACTCTGGCGTCAGCAACATGCACAAATAAAAGAGAATTTTTCTGTAGTTGTTGCCACAGCCACAACTGTTCCACCTTTATTTTTTGTGGCCATATCCACAATGGAGCAAGGTTTGACAGCTGAGTTTAGCAGAACAATCTCAACCCAGGTTCCTGAGCAGTCACATAAGTACTTGGGAGTGAGCATGCCAGGACATGTTTTACGGAAGGAGCCTGCTCTTCTTTACATTACACTGTAAATGCACCTTATAAACCAGAGTACAAAAGACAGCATTAAATGAGAATTCTCTTCCTTCTCAATGCCAAGGCAATGGTAGCCCTGTGGTGTGCAGAAAGCCCATGAGAACTTCGGGTCTGTTGGACCTGAGTTCAAATCCCAGAGCCAGTACCAGTTGTGAATCATAGGTGAGTTACCTTCATCTACAAAATAGTTACACTGGCTTGTATTTACACTATGCACAAAGAATTATGCATAGTATAAATGATATTATTCCTGTCAGTGTCAAGAACATAATCAGGTGTCTAACAATCTTAGTTCCCGTTCTCCATAAAATCTTTTCTTCAAAAAACATTTGTCATGTAATCTACTTTTAGATACAAGAAGACTCATTTCCCTCAATTCTTACCATGCCCATTAAATGGACGATTAAGGGTCCTCTAGACTTGCGAAAACCCCAAGTACCTGTGATACACAGAGAAAAGCACTCAGTCAGGAGCCAGGCTACCACCACAAAAGACTAACTCCTATGACCCTATAGCTTTGGCCTCCTGAGTCAAGGCTGTGAGACTCCACCAAAAGATACCTGCACTTTAAAAATGAGTAAGGAGAAAATACCTAGACACCCCAGAGTTCTGTATTTTGCAGACAGAACTGTGACAGGCATGGTCTGGATACCCTTCAGTCCTCTGGCCTTGCACCCATTTCAGGAGTTGATCAGCCTTTTCACTTAGTCCAATCCAACTGTCCAATCTAATCTTTTACCTGTAGGCCTGTCCTTTTGATGGTTTTTCTGGATACCAGTGATTTTTATATTTTTCTTGAAGGATTAGAGTCAATTTCTCAGCAAACCTCTCAACTGCCTCTTTTTTCAACTTATCATGCTTTCGAACCAGCCTTGTGAAAAAGAAGACAACAGCAGCAATTTCGTTCTTCATCTTTTTCCCTGCGAAGATAAAACAGGATTTCTCAAAAAAGACAAAATATAAAAACTACAAGATAAAGCTCTGCAAAATATCCTTCCTTTATAGCTTCCCTTCCTCCTTTCAATTTTATCATGTATTTCATTGGCTCATCTCTGGAGTAGGGAACAATCACTAATTTATGTTTATGCTATAAAGACCTTATTATAAAATACTACTTAAGAACCTTATAACTTAGCTTTGTGAAGATGTTTAGTAAAGAGAGCACACCAAATTGCTACTGTTGGCTAAAATAAAATCAGAGATATCACTCAAAGAAAAGCACTAGAACAAATAATACTACTATATAATTTATACTAAACCTGTCAATATTTAGCTACAATAAGCTAAAATTAAATGAATTCTGTGAAATGATTTGAACTTTATAACACAAAAAAAGCTCACTTTAAAATATAGTACTATAGAGCCATTTTGGAAAAGTTTGGCAGTTCCTAAAAAGGTTAAAAACAGAGTTACCATATGACCCAGCAATTCTACTTCTACTATACCCATGAGAAATGAAAACATATGTCCATGCCAAAACCCTGTACACAAATGTCCTTGGCAGCATTATTCAGAATTGCCAAAAAATTTTAAAAATATCCTATATGTTCACCAACTGATAAACTGACAAATAGTATGGTATATTAACATATACAAAAAATCGCATATTGTATGATTCCATTGATATGAAATGTCCAGAATAGGCAAAACTATATAGATAGAAAGTAGATCAGACGCATAGGGCCAAGAGGGATTCAGGGGAAAGGAAGAATAATACTAATAAGTACAAGGTTACTTTATGGGGTGATAAAAATATTCTAAAATTGACTATGGTGATGGTTGTACAACTCCATGAATATACTAAAATCACTGAACTGTACATTTTAAATGGGTAATTGCATGGTATATGAATTACATCTCAAAGCTGTTATACATTAAAAAAAAAATCAGTATTGAGTTTCTGTAAGTACTCTTTCAGGAACAGGGATATATTTACCTTAAAGTTAAGATACATAAAAAATAGTGGCTCTAGCAGAAGAGAGTGAAAATTCAGGGTCATCCACAGAAAATCAAACTAAAAGAAATAATCTGAGATTGAGCTGCATTTTGGACTACCTCAAAGAAGGACTTTTTAGAATGGTAGATCTGATTTATCACAGATTAATCCATAAAGGCAAAAAGCTTGCCATGGGATTGTTTTGACATATATTCTGTCTTTACTCAGTGAGCTCATTCATTTGGCTGCTGTAAATAACTTGGAGTTATTCAGATGCTGCATTTAGTAAGCAACATAACCTTTTTTGGAGCCAATTACATATTAAAGACATAGAGCCTCTGCTATGTTTGGTATAAAAACCAACGAACCTAGCAATAGTTTGTGTTCCTACACATTCAAAAAATAAAGCTGATTTTGTTAGCTTTCTTTTTCTTTTCTCAAACTGCTCTTAAGTCGTCCTTCACAATGTGATTTCTTTACTCCATGTGCAAATTCAAACAAGGAACCTTACTGTGAAATAAATTCTACACAGTTATTTGAGAGGTGTGCTGGCAGCCACAGCCACCCTGATTCTGGATGGGAAGACACCCAAACCTTCCTCCTGGAACCCTAAAATGCCAAATTCACTGTCTACAGCCAGCTACCAGCACTGGGCACCGGTCCACACACAAGAGTGTGCAAGCACACAAAACCCCAGCCTACCACAACTGCTGTGCAGCATCCGCTTGAAAAATGTTGAGCCATTTCCACTTTATAAAGCCACATTTATACTCCACCACGGTACGATGGAAAGGAAAACCCAAGAAAATTTAATACATGGTTTGAGAAGAAAGTTGCTGATGGAACTACAGTAGTCTCTGCCCCACCAAACAAAGCAAGGAAACACACTAAAGAAATTAGATCATTCTCCTCATTGCATTTGTCCACCATGTGCCATATGTGAGAGTTTTGGGTTCTGTTTCTGTTTGCTCCGTTTCGTATCAAAAAAATAAGAAGGAAGAAAGAAAGGAAAGAACCACTTAGTGGTTGCTTTTGGTTGTAATACAAGATGACTCATATGGACTTTATTTTTTGTTCCTGTTTCAAAGAATGATGACTGGAATAGCTGAAAAATTAGCCCACCCCCACCAGTATTCTAAGAGTATCAAAAGGTACAAGAGAGAGTTACAAAGTCAGGCAGGGAACGGTCAGAAGCAAGCAGGGCCAAGACCTTAGGCGCCTTGAGTAAGGAGCCGCAATTTCTCCACCCACACAGAGCAAAGCTCCCATTTTAAATATCGCACAGTGACGTCATCCTGGGAGGTCGTCACCGCCGCGGCGGCTCCGCAAGTTCTACTTTGTTCCACAGGCTTCTCTGCTCAAGGCTGCGTGGATAAAACCCAAAAGGAAACCAAGCCCGGCCTTCCAGGAGTTTATAACTTTGTATTTCTCCCTCCCTTTTAACGAAAAGCTAATCGCAACCGTTTCTAGAAACAATTTTTTCTCCTGACAGACGTTCCCAAGGTTGAGGGAGCGGGAGACTGGCCCGCGGGGGTGAGGAGCCCCTGCCCAGCCTCAGCGGCGTCACAAGGCGGGCTCCGGACCACGAGGAAGGAAAGAATTTTCCAAAAGGGGCCCCGGGACTTTGACTTTTTGAAGCCATCGAAACCTGCCGCGAGGCACTGCCGCCGGGTTCCGAGAGAGCGAGGTGAGGAGGCACCCAGCATCTCCACCCACTCTCGAAAGGATGGCCTGCTGGCCGCGTCCAACTTCTGCAATCTGCTTTTCTCCCAAGTTCGGGGCGAAGGCCCGTAAGTCCAATTCCTTGGCCGGCCTCCCCCGACAACATCCTCGCTAGGGTGCGCCTGCCCCGCCTTGCGCCCGGGGCCGCCGTCCCCACCGGCGGCTAGTCGCCAGGTGGCCCTGGGTTCGAGGACCGGGGATTCCCTGAGGCGCGACCTTCCACACAAGCAGCGTCCCGGGATCCAGAAAACCCACTGAAGCGAAGGGGGCAGGTAGAGGATGGGAGCGTGCAGGGGCCGTCGCCCACCGAGGCGGAAGGTAACGCGCTGTGGAAACGTGGCAAGAGCCTCGAGGCGGCGTCTCCTCCCTCCGGAGCCCGCCGAGGGTCCCATGGAAACCCTCGCGGGCAGCCCCCGCAGCCCCCAGCCCTTCCTCGGCTCCGAGGAGGCGCCCACGCACCCACTTCGATCCCGCACCCCTTCCCTCTCCTCCGCGCACCGCCCGCCAGCGAGCCTTCGACGTGGCCACAGGGGCGCCCGGACCACCCTCCCCCACGATGCCCTCAGCCCCGCCATGTCTGCCTCCCGCCGGCCGGGTCTCCTCACCGCTGCTGCCGCCGCCGCTCTGGGGCCGCAGATTCAGCGGTGCCGACTGTGCCCTGGCCGGGAACCGAGGGCGCCGCCTCAGCGGGCCCGCGCTCAGCTACAGGGAGCGCAGCAAGCCTCGTCCGGCGCGTGCAGCTCCCGCGTCGTCGGGCGGCCGAGCGCGCGCTGAGAGGACTGGCTGGCGGGAGGACGGGCGGGCGCGCGCGCACGAGCGCGGTCCCGAAGCGGCGCGCGGGGGGCTCGCGGCCCGGAAGAGGGGAGGGGCGATGACCCGGGAAAAGGTTGGCGCCGCGCGGGACCGGCTCGCGCGCCTCAGGGGGAGGAGCCTGGGGGCGGGGCTTTGCCGCGAGCCCGCCCCCAGCCCGGGGCCGCGCCGCGCGGGCGGCGACGCATCCTCGCCCTTGCACGCGCTGGGTACGGATCCCCGACCCCGACGGCGAGGCCCACAGCGCCGCGGGCTTTCCTCATCGGGAAAGAGCCGCTCTGAGGGCCGAACAGACCCCCCGCCTGGCCGCCCTATGTGCCGCACCACCCTTCGGGGGTCGCGCGGGCCACCTCTCTTAGGTTGTCTCGGCCTTTGCTTTCCCCTCTGGTCTCTCCTTTCCGCTCTTCGGCGTGACGCTCTCCAGCCAGAGGGAGGGCAAGTTCTAGACCCAGCCCACCCAGGGCTTCGCGAGGCACACGGACCAGACGGGAAGGGGAACTTTGCATTTATGGACCGATCCTCTTCCTTCTTGCTGTGGTAAATATAAGTGTACAGCCGCTATATTTTAGGCAGTTTGTTTAAAACTCCCATTTGGACCCTTCTCTGGCCAGCTGGTAGCTCCCTCACAGCAGGGGCTGCCTCCTGTGGGCCATAGTGTCCCGGCCTGGCACTGGCCACAGTGTCTTGCACGGAAAAGAGACTCCAAGAATTTTGGCCAAATGATTGAAGCCTTGAGAGTCCACGCTTTCTATTTCTGAGACACTTATACTCAAGGACTTCTCAGATACAAAGCTTAATCTTCGAGCAAATACAAATATGGAAAAGGAACATTAACTTTATGAAGAAAAGAAGGAACATCATTCCAAGCTTTTATATTGAATTGGCACCATGTTAGTTTTGTGAAAGCACTTTAATACATCATACAGGCCAGAAGAATACAAGACATTTCTACTGTTTTTCTTTGTTATTAAAAGAGGGCTAAAATACGTTGTAAATTACTAAAGAACTGAATGTTCAGGTTTTACAATATATTGACCAGATTCCTTACTGCCTGCTAGGTCTGGGATGATGTTTTCAGCCCAGTTTTATGAATATTTTAAAATTTTAATACTGATACTCATGGATTATAGCCTATTGACAATTCAAAATAATTTTCTAGCAATAGTAAAAATACAATCCCAAAACCAGTACAATGAACTTTATTTGTAAAAAAAAAATTATTACACTGTTTTAGGACAGTATACATTTAAAGAGGGTACTAGTATTTACACCTTGGACTATTCTAGGAGATGTGAGGGTGTTTTCATTTGAAAATCATAACAATCTGATGAGGTGATTTTACTGATAACTCTGCAGTTTCATAAAATAGATAGGTAGCCACAAACATTACTCAAAATTTGTCCAGAAATTTCTATAGTTTGAGCTTAGTATTTTGTGTAATATTTATAAATCTGTGACCCACATGGTTCAGCCTTTGAGCAGTACCATATTCAAAAAACAGGCAATAACCTGAAACCTAATTTCAAAATAACTTTAAAAAAATTATCATAGCTGAACATGTGAACCAGATACATAACAATATATCTTAAACATTTTCTTTTCTCTCTCATCCCTTTCTCTTGCACACAGTAGCTGCCTTTGTGCCTCTTTCAAAACTTGCCCTGGCTATGTGCTTCAGATCCTTTGCCTCAGCTCTCTTTCCTCCTGAGTCAGAATCACAAAATTCCAAAAGAATTGGTCTAGCAAGGCAGGATCCTCCTTTTTAGAAGACTGGAAAAAGAGAGCTGCTATGAACTAAATATTTGTGTCCCTTGCCATCCCGCCCACCCACCCCTGCCGGCCCTCAGATACATATGTTGGAGACTAAATCCCCAATGTGATGGTATTTGGAGGTTGGGTCTTTGGGAGGTAGTTAGGTCATGAGGGTGGAACCCTCAGGAATGGGATTAGTGCCCTTACAGGAAAACAAACAGAGGGATGATCACTCTCTTTGCTCTCTACTGAGTAAGGATACAAGAAGATGGACAACCAACCAGTAAGCATACCTTCACCAGACACCAAATCTGCTGGCACCTTGATCTTGAACTTCCCAGACTCCAGAACTGTAAGAAATGAATTTCTGTTGTTTAAGCCACACAGTCCATAGTATTCTGTTATAGCATCCCAGACTAAAACAGGAGCAGAGCTGATATAAAAATAATTACAGTAGTCCCTAGTTATCAATGGGAGGATATATTCCAGGGCTCCCAGTGGATGCCTGAAACTGTGGATAGTACTGAACCCTACATGTGCTGTTTTATTTTTGACACATACATACCTGTGATAAAGTTAAATTTATAAATTAGGCACAGTAAGATATTAACAACAATATTTAATAATAAGATAGAACTATTATAACAATTTATTGTAATAAATGTTACGTGAACGTAGTCTCTCTTTTTCTCCCTAAAAATATCTCATAGTACTGTACCACAGGTAACTGAAGCCATGAAAAGTGAAACCGAGGATAAGGGGGGATGGAGCCTAAGTAAACATTAATATGTATTTCCATTCCACAGCTAACTTTAAATGTTCACTACTGCTGTGTGTTAATGAGTGTAGTTTGCTTTCAGTATAAGTAATTTCTTTTGAAAATGAGCCACCCTGATACGGCTGAGGCTTTATAATCACAGACATCCTATGGTTGTATCCCAAAGTCACATAGAACACGACTCACATTCAATCAACAAAATCTGTAAATAGCTTTTCAAATCAGGACTTATTTTCATTAAGTCACAGTGTAACTCTTTAAAAGTCCTTTGGGCTCAAAGTAGTTCAGCGTTGAAAACAAAGCAGTCTCAGGTACACTATTCTTAGTTCACATGTCAAGTTTGAATCGGAATACAAAACTGTTACTTTTATAGTGGACGTGGAAGATTGTTATGTTATGTAACATCAGGGAAAACTGTATGCAGCCTTTGGGGCCCTTAGAGGTCCAGCAAGTAAGATCTAAGACTTTTTAATTCTAAAAACACTTCAATGCATTTCTTCAAAAATTTTTAGGACTTAGCCATTTGCCTTAATTAAAATAAACTAAATCTACTTTTCTTGCTTCAACTTCTTAACTATTCATGAACCAGCAGTGGTTAAAAAAATAAGCATAAAGAAAATTTGTAATCTTCATTATTTACTCCATTACATGATGCAGTAAAACTGACTTCCAAAAGTCACAATAGAAACTCTTGATAAACGAGGCAATGGAAACCGGGCACACTAACCTCCTATTTTGAGTAGCATTATCTGTGAAACCCTCCTCCCTGCCTCAACCAGATCCCAAATGTGGTCCGTCTTTTTCAGAAGAAAATATTTTGATCAAGATTTTCAGATTCTTGGCTGGTAATTGGTTAGGATTTGTGTAAACTAGGTTAAGATGATATATAGGGTATAATACTTAAGTGGGCCAGACACTCTGGGTTCAGGTAGCACTTCATATTGGAAACCCTGGTGTAAAATTTCCTTGCTTGACAGGAGAGGTGCCATTGTTGTTGGGTTCCTTTGACAATACTCTCCTGTTCTCCATACCAGCAGAGAAACTGACTTTTATTAGAGAGTAGCACATAAGCTCCTACCCTTATTTAGTGCAACAAGATTAAGAATACAGGTATCTAGGCATGCCTCAGAGATATTGTGGGTTCGGTTCCAGACCACTGCAATAAAGTGAACATTGCGCTAAAGCAAGTTTTTAGTTTACCAGAAATTTTTAGTTTCCCAGTGCGTGTAGAAGTTATGTTTATAGTATATGTAGTCTAATAAGTGTGCAATAGCATTAGGTCTACAAAAACAATGTATATACCTTAATTTAAAGATACTTTATTGCCAAGAAATGCTAACAATCCATTGAGCCTTCAGCAAGTCCTTATCTTTGTGCTGGTGGAGGGTCTTTCCTCAATGTCGATGACTGTTGACTGATCAGGGTGGTGGTTGCTGAAGGTTGGGGTGTCTGTGGCAATTTCTTGAAATAAAGCAACAATTAAGTTTGCCACATCTATTGACTCTTTCTTTCAGGAAAGATTTCTCCGTAGCATGCCATGCTGTTTGATAACATTTTATCCCAGTAAAAGTTCTTTCAAAATTGGAGTCAATCCTCTCAAACCCTGCCTCTGCTTTATCAACTAAGTTTATGAAATTTTCTAAATCCTTTGTTGTCATTTCAACGATGTTCACAGCATCTTCACCAGGAGTAGATTTCATTGCAATTAACCACTTTCTTTGCTTATCCATAAGAAACAACTCCTCATCCATTCAAGTTTTATCATGCGATTGTAGGAATTCAGTGATATCTACAGGCTCCACTTCTAATTCTAGTTATCTTGCTATTTCCACCACATCTGCAGTTACTTCCTCCACTGAAGTCTGGAACCCCTCAAAGTCATCCGTAAGAGTTGGAATCAACTTCTTCCATACTCCCTGTTAATGTTGATATTTTGACTTCCTCCTATTAATCATGAATGTTCTTAATGGCATCTAGAACAGTGAATCCTTTCCAGAAGGTTTTCAATTTGCTTTGCCCACATGCATCAGAGCAATCACTATCTATGGCAGCTATAGCCTTACAAAATGTATTTCTTAAGTAATAAGATTTGAAAGTTGTAATTACTCCTTGATCCATGGGCTGCAGAATGGATGTGTTAGTAGACATGAAGACAACATTAATCTCCCTCAGAGCTCTTGGGTGACTACGTGCATTGTCAATGAGCAGTAGTATTTTGAAGGGAATCTTTTTTGCTGAGTAATAGCTTTCAACAGTGGGCTTAAAATATTCAGTAAACTCATATCTGTGAACAGATATGCTGTGATCCAGGCTTTGTTGTTCCATTTATAGAGCACAGGCAGAGTAGATTTAGCAAAATTCTTGAGGGGCTTAGGATTTTTAGAATGGTGAGTGAGCATTGGCTTCAACTTAAAGTCACCAGTTGTGTTAGTCTCTAATGAGAGAGTCATCCTGTCCTTTGAAGATTTGAAGCCAGGCATTGACTTTTCCTCTCTAGCTATGAAGGCACAAATGGCCTTTCATT